TGGCGCACATGGAGGAATAAGAGCGTCCGGCCTTGGCTCTGCTAACGCAAGGCTGACCGATTTGGCGCTGGGCTGGGTGGCCGCCCACGGAAACTAGGTGATCATGGCGCAGGTGATGTTATTTCGAGCGCATCATCGTCTACCGCTAGGGACAATCACGGGTCGGTTCCGAAGTGCCAGCAACAAAAAAAAAGGGTGCAATTGCTGGCCGTGTTGGCGACCTATACTAAAGTAAGACGCGCGCCAAGTGGCTGGCATCTTAGTACCAGGGGGCTGGTTGGCCTCTCTCACCCACGCCGCCATTCCCCAATACTTGAATGCAGCCCTCGTGACGGCAACATGGTACGATGCCTCTTTTTTTGCACTGCCGTTTCTGTGTAAGCATCTTTTGCTTTGGTCGCCGAAGAAGCCGTGGACGCACAGTGACGGCATACATCGAAGCCGTGCCCTCCGTCCCTTTGGCCCCCCCATCCCCCTCCCCTCCCTTCTTGCCCATGACACGCACAGCTGCAGCAGCCATCGGAACCGGGCATGCGATACATGATTGTAAATGAAAAGAGTAGATAACAAAACAAGCAGCGCGAGGCTGTCCGTGTGGTGACGACCTTTGCATGTCAGCCGCTCCAAGGCAAGCGAGGGCCGGGAAATTGGCAAAGGGGAGAGCAAGAAAGGGAAAACTAGACAGGTGAAACACATTCCACGAGACTGGGAATGGGCCCAGAGCCGCCCCCTCCTCCGAACAGATGATGCGCAGATCTCTCTCCAAGCACGACCCACGGGCTTGAACGGATGCACTGATCCACCCTTCTCACCATCAAACCCGATTGGCACACTGGGTGCCTCTTCGACGACGTGGCGCACCTCTGTTCATCTACCTCCCGCGATTGCTTTTGGTGCCCGTCCTCCCAGCGGCTGACCACCTCGCTTAAGTCCATCACATACGTACTCATCCTGTAGTCTGTATGTACGTTACATGCATGCGCGAAATCGCATGTCGCCTGACAAGTCGCAGACTTGCTCCGTGTGTCCTCCGCTCGCACACCCCCCTCTCAAGTGGTGTGGCATTTCCACCATTGTTTCTTTTTTCCCCGCCGGTTTGTGGGGGGGGGGAGGAGGGAAAGGGGGGCACAGCGTGTGTTTGAAAAGGGAACAAAAGCCATACAAAGTTGTTGTTTTTTTCAGGGCACTGAGTAGTTAACACGGCAATCAAGTCCGAATCTAAGTCAGAGTGATTCAAAAAAGGGAAAGAGAAGATATTTCGGTTCCGCCGAACGGTTTGGCAGGATTCCCTTACTTTACTTGTTGCAGTAAGGGTTCCCTCCCCCATCAGACGATTGATGTTTTGCGTTTTTGCTTCTTTTGCCCTTTTGACTACGACCGCCCGAGAAGGCCTAACCGAGCTTACCTTACTCTAACCTGCAAGCTTGTCATCGGGCCAATGTGGAGGGGGAAAAGCGCCTCCCGAAAGCTTGCTAAGGGCCAAAGCAGTAGTAGCCGCTCGTGCATTTTGCTATGGGCCAAGCCCAGAGCTTGGGGTTTCAGACTTATTGGATTCCTCCAAATTCGTTATCCAGCGGGACCTGGGGCTCGGATTCTGGTCGGGTGAGCATCACCGCGCTCGGGGAATTGTTAAGTGATGATCGTCGCTCTAGCTTCATGCCTCTGTCGTTTGATTCAGAGTACTTTACATGCTAGATACATTCAAGTGCAGATGGATGGGGGGGTTGAGGCTCCATGCGAAGCAAGCCACATGCGGCTTTCGTCACATGTGCACTGCGCAAGCAATATCGCTATGAATCACCGGTCGCAGAAAAAAAAAGCGAAGGGGGTTTTTTATTTTTGAGACGAGGGAGGGGGGCCCAATGGTGTACAGGTTTGAACTTTAGTGTTGTTGTTGTTGGTCCTCGTAGGTTGTTTGTATGGACGGCTATAGATTACCAGACATCCGACAAGTGGTGTGAATGACGACATTGGAAAGACAGCACATGTAGCTGCAAGTAATGACATGGCCAAGCAGTTCAGCGCTAAGACGACTCATGCGACCTGTACTGCTGACGGCGAAACAAAAAGGCCTCAGGCAGAGGGTAATCAAGTTTAATCCATACAAGCTACCAAGGCAGTCTATTGTGCTTGCGGCATTGAACGCGAAAAAAAGGGGATGTAGTTTTCAGCCATATGAACTGATCTCTGGGCTCTTTACGTTTTACAGTCTCCTTTATTGGGTGTGCCGAAGTCGCTATTGGCAATGACCATTGTTGGCCGGTACCCGGACAGCGGTAGGCGGCGGATAAATGAGACCATGAACGCCAGCCCTGATCATAACAGGCTGCATTATGCGGCTGGGGAGCGTAGCACCACAGAACTGGGGGATGCTCAACTGACCCTTTTTTTCCTTTCCATCGGCCCTCCATGCCCAGCTAATCGTTATTACGTTGGTGTATAAGCCGGGGAGGGGACGTGCAACAATGGATGGGGGACGAAGATCGACCGAGGTGGGTCTCTGGCGAGATGTACTTGTGTGTACGTAGCCAAGGAGCCGTTGAAATGACGGAGCTCTCTCGGCGACTGTTTCCTCAAATTCGACGCAGCCATTACGCAAGCCTGGTTCCATGGGTTATCCATTGCGAACAGCAAAGACGTCTTGGTTTGAAGTTGCGAGCTCCCAAGTGCTGTGCCCCGACGTCTTCAGTTTCCACTAGGTTTGGAAGCCACGACACGTTCCAGGCACAGCATCGTTCCCCTGCCTGATTAATCTCAATCACCAAAAACGTGGCGATAGAGCAAGAGCGCGCTTATCAGTTGATCATCGGAAAAAATGTCATGAGATAGTAATATATTGATTTGTGCAATTTGACACATGTCATAGCATTTGGCTGCATAACGCAACGTCTCTACTATAGTACAAAGAAATAAAAGTTATTTATCGGGTAAAAAATGATGCCGCGCTCCCAGATGCGAGACAGAAAAAAGTCTGTCAGATGAGAAAAACCCAGAAATAAGATGTGGGGAAATAAGCGTACAACATCGCGACTGATGGCGAAGTAGGATATCGTTAACAAACACGAAAACTCCATTGAAATGCATAACATGGTGGGAAACCCCCAGGCGCCGATGCAGAAGTCGTGCAAATGGTATCGTTGGCGAGATATGACAGAACAAAGCATGTCATAGGAAGGAGACTCTGAGTATGTCCAGGCTTGTCAAGGCCGATTGCGTAAGACGATTAGGTGCGGCGGCTTTTGGCCCATCATGCCGTCAGGGTGGTGCTGGAGGCTGCGTGGCAGCCTCGCTCATGTCGCTTCATGTTGCTGCGGACGCTGAAGGCTTTGCCGCATCCGGGTTGTGGGCACTTGTACGGCTTCTCGCCCGTGTGGCTGTGGCTGTGGATGCGCAAGCTGCTCGGGCGCGAAAAGGCCTTGTTGCAGGTGGAGCAGATGTAGCGGTCCTGTGGCTGTGGGAACTGTGACTGGCTTGAAGTGCTGATGTAGTGGTGGTGTTGCCATGGGTTTGAGCCGTTGGCGGCAGGGCTCGGTACAGGTACAGGCAGAGGCATTGCGTGCGGCTGGAAGTTTGAAGGCAAAGGACGCTGCGAGTAGAGTGGTGTGGTGTTGTACGAGTGCTGCTCGGGCGAGTAGAATGAGGCTGATGACGCAGCTCCTGGCGAGGACTGGTAGGGAGACTGGCCGTACATGGAAGCACTGTAGGGCGACATGGAGTGCGACTGCATCGAGTCACGCTTCATTGGAGGCACTGTGGAGAAGTTCTGCCGTTGTTGGTGAGGCTCCATGTTGTTGAGCGCACCGCCGACAAAGTAGGGAGTAGAAGCTGCTGAGTGGTTGGATGCTGCCGAAGGGGACTGGTTGCCGTCGTGTGCAACGTCGGGGTGCATTGGTGGAGTCGGGGGCAGGGTCATCCGTGAGTTGTTCGGGGCCGAAACTGGAGTGTATTGTGGTTGCGGCTGTTGTTCTTGCCTCAGTTGTGGAGATGCAGACTTTCGTTGCTGTGACTGAGGGCTCTGGGAAGCTAGGAACCAAGTTAGCGACAAGGCCAGGGGAGAGATTGATGGAAGTGTAAAGGACTTACCTGAATCAGAGGATGCGGGCTTTTCGTTGCCAGCAAACTCGAGGAGACTCGAGATGGACGGAAGCGAAGGCTTCTTCTCCTCGGCCGGGGGTGAAGGGGGAGACTGAGGCCGTTGCTGCTTTTGTGGTTGTTGTTGTTGGTGTTGTTGTTGCTGATGTTGCACTTGCTGTCGGTATTGCTGCTCGACTTGCTGTGTGTGGGCTGGTGGTTGTACCGGGTATGAGGAGGCCGCAACACCCGACATGGCGTATCCACGAGGCTGGGGTTGTTGGTAGTATGCCGGGTGCTGAAAGGCCTCGCGGTCCCGAACGCTGCCGTGTACCATGCTGGCGAGATGCATTGCCATGGAGGAGGGTGTGGTGGAGGTGGAGGAGCTGAGGGTCACGGGTCACTGCAGTGGGTGGGTGATGGGGAGAGAGTTGTAATAAGTTATGCAAAAGTGGGTGAAGGGGGGGTGAGTGTGGTGAGCGGCGAACGAGTGATGACGAGATGGATAGTAGTCTGAGCGACGGGTACGGGCAGATGTATAGCAGTGCCAGGAATTCGGGCCTGCAGCGTTCAAGTACAATGTCTGGCGGATTGGCGAGATTCAGCACAAAGCCCGTTCGCACCGTAGCGTCGTCGGTGGACCTGTCGTTCCCTGTCCAAATTGCGTTTGAGCGGGCGATGAGGCGGCGGACCGTTGGCAAAAAGCCCACCTCCAACTGCACTTAGCCCGACGCTCAGTCCCTTGCAACGGCAATGCAGATGACAGACGAAGGCGGTTTAGAGTAAGGATGTGCACGACCCGTAGTAATGCCTTGGCCGAGCGATGCGCCCACGCATGCCAGGCCGCCCAATCGACGCTGCGCCGGCGCAGGAGCGCTTTTCGGACAGTCGTTGCAGGGGCCCTGGTCGAGATCCAAGGACAGGCCGCGATGCACTGCAGATCGACCGTTCCAGGAGAAACCCGAGGAGAATCCTCGTGGGCTCGTCGGAAGCAAGCAAGCAAGCAAGCTCGCTGCTGCTGCCACCGCTGTGGCTGCTGGGATCGAGCAGAGGTCCCCCGGCACTGCCCTCGGAGCGGAACAACCCTCGCCGAGTCTCTTCGTCTCACACACACGCCGCTGCCGCCGCCGGATGACGATTCAAGTCGCCGGCGCTGCAGCCGTGCGTCGCCGACGGCTGATTGATATCTATGGATGTCGTACAATACACGCTGTCGGCTGGCTGGCTGGCTATCCTGTCCGGCCGTCCAAGGGGTGTGGGTTGGTGTGCATGTGCGTGGTGTTCTGCGAGTGAGGGAGGAGCCTCGGGGTCACGGGGCTACTTCTCTCTGTCTCCCTCTCTCTCTGCACGGCCCGTCAGGCTGTCGGATGCTGATTCCAGACCGGATTCCCACTTTGTTCTTTTCGCTCGCGGGCGTTGTTGTGCCTCGTCGCTTCGAGGGGTGGGTGTGCAGCCTCAGGGCGTCGAGACAACACCACACGGGCTGACGAAGGATCGGGCAGGGGGTGGGCAGACGGGAGGAGGGGGGAGGGGGGGCGAAGCGTGGGAACGGAACGGCAGAGATTGAAAGAATCAAACACTTGAGACAAGCCAGACACGGTACTGCACCTTGAACACGCTTTAAACGAGCACACGGGCAGGCGCCCTCGAATATCGCCTACATCAAGAAGGGCTGCACAGTTGGACCCGTCGCAAGCCATGTTGTGATGGCTTGCCCATCGTCCCGCCAGAGGTATGGCACATTGAGGGAGCGGAAGCGAGTCACGGCGTGCACTGGGGCGCCAAAGCAGTCTAATGCTAACCACCATGGCGGTGACTTGTCCGCATCAGGGCCGCCATGGAGTTTGGGGGTATGCGACTGATTGGCCTGCATTTTGCAGAATAGCGAGGGCGGCAGTGGAGAGTCGAGCCTGGCGAAGCAATAGAGAATGCAGAAGCGCATGATTTGCTGGCAATATTGAGGCAGCAAGGCGGGCGGCAGCGGCAGTGGTGGTAGTGGTGGTGATGATGCAGCGCACATACATACTGACATACATACATACATGCCATGTACATCCATCCATACATAGATCCGTACAGCATGTATGTATGTACTTACGTACGTACATATCTACTTGGAAAGTGTACCATGGCCACCATACAAACTCAGAGACGTCGGCGAGGCTGACTCGCCCCTCGACAAAGGTCTCCCCGGAGAGGCGCCAGAAGAAGGGGAGGGAGGGGGAGAGAGAGAGTTGTCGAGGACAGTGCTCACCGCATGTTGGCGTTTGCTGCTCTACTCTGCTGCTAGCAAGTAAGCGATGGGTGGAATGGCCCCCCCCCCTTCCCATTCATTCATTCATCCATCCATCCCATCCCATGGCCATCCCCTCCCCCCCATACGGCTGCTGGTTTCAGCATCAGCATCAGCACACGCACAGCATTTGGATCAGGGCAAGCGCGGGAGGCCACGGCGGCGCGACGGATGATGCCTTTTTCCAGCGACCGTCTCCGACCCCAGTAGCGACGACGTCGTTGGGGCGCCGCCAGGGCGGGATGGCGGCGTTGAGCCACGGCTTGGCCTCGTCCGACTGTGGAGGATCTTTGAGAAAGAGGCGGGTCGATCAGCAGCAAGCGCATGCAGCTAATGCCGGGGGGCCACGTTGGCTGTCACCGTCGCTGTCGCTCGACAACTGCTGTAGCCGATGACATGCCGCCACCAATCCACACGCCGCAAACCCCCCATCTCCCGACCTTCCCTGGCGCTGGCCCGCCTTCGAGAAGCTGCGTGCTGCTGCAATGCCACACCGCACCTGGCCATCTATCTATCTATACTACTGTACTCGACACTCCACTCTCCAGTCTCCAGTCCGATGACACAGCAGACACTTGCCGCTAGCCAGGCCGAAAGACGCCTCTGCCCATCGCCGCTCGCCCACGCCCACGGCATTTGCATTGGCATACCCCTCGCCCTCGCCCTCGCCCTCGCCTTCATCTTCGTCCGCCCCCAATATAACATGTACACTACTTACATACCGCCATCGCGTGTCTCGCCTTCCGCCCTGCTGTTTGGCGCTGGACTGTATCAGATATGAACTGTGACTTGATCCCTCCGTCTACTATCCCCTCCAGGCTACTCTACTCTACTTGACTCTGCTCCTGCATCTGCATGTACATACGTACATACATAGACGTGTAGCATATAGCAAGCCCGTCCGTCATGCCTGTGCGACAACACACGGGCGGCGGACGGCAAACCTGCGAACCTAGAATCACGTGCACGGACACGCCATCCAGGGTTTTCCGTTGATGGAAAATTTCCCAGCTCGGGCCACCCTCCACCCACGCCCGCCGCGCGACTCGCGCGTATCATACCGTCTCTTTGGGTTTCGCGCGCGATGCAATGCACCGCACACGTTGCTCCCATTCCCATTTCACCCCGCCCTCATCCAGCTAGTACGTACGCAACGCATGCTGCCCTTCTCTACCGGCTTGACGCCATGCCCACCCGCCTTCCCCTTGAGCAAGCCCTAGGCCACCGCTCTTTGCTTGCTTGCTTGCTCGCTCGCTCGCCTGCCCACCGCGGAATGCGTGCATGATCTCCCGGAACAGACCACCACCAGCCCAGCCCAGGCATACACACTACTGTAAGTACTACTGTACATATCTGTAGCTGCTGTCTCTCATCTCAGGGCGCGTGGGATTGGCAGGGGGATCAATACCTGGACCGCATCGTGACCCATCATCAGCGGGAACACGCTTGCATCCATCCATCAGTCTGCCTCCCTGGTGCCATCCGAGCGATCCTCTCGGCGTTTCATTGTCACGAACCGACATGCCAACACCCTCCTCACTACTCTCCCTGGCCGCCGCACCTTCTGCGCCTCGGGCTCGTCTCATACTGGCTTGCTGGAGCCTTGTTGCCTGCCTCTCCCCCAAGCACCACAATCTTCTCCATCATCACCTTGTCACAAGCGATGCCGCCTAGCATCACTACGATTGAGCTGTTGTGTCGCCTCCCGCCCGGGCCATGACGCCTCCCAGGGTATCCCGGCTAAAGTATCTAGGCGAAGCCAGTGCGGACATGGCAAGGCTGCTGCCTTAATTGTATCTCTCTTATTGGCCTCTGCTCCTGAAATAATCAGTCGATCTACCGGCCTTCTTCCGAATCGTATGAGGCACAATGTACCTGGGTACATGGACCGCTATGACGCCGCCTGGGGGTTTCGCCAAGCGCAACGCCATCGATAATCCTAGGAACAACCGCATTGGCCCGCCAAAACCTCGCATTAACGGCCATTTTCGATTGGCCTGAAAACAACGCCCGTTACACATGTATGCCCGTCGTTGCTCTCCCCAGACATGCAGCGTCCATTTTGTTTACAGTGCACTGCCCAAGACAACCTTCTCGATACGAACACAAGCGCAAAGCTCCTATGCCCGACTTTCCCAAAGTAATGTGTAAAATCCCTCAATCTGGTACAGCCGGACAACTGATATCTCCACTGCTTGACTAGTCCAAGGGTTCTCCTGGTACATTTAAGAAAAACATACCAGCCTGCTTACTCGTGCAAATTGGCCAAGGAAATGAGCAAAATCCAAGTGAAGCGTGACCGACTATTTAGGAAATACATACTACATACGTCTTGAGCAAACCAATCTTGGTATACAGAGGCATTTGCAAGAACATATGGCCTGCTCTGACATTGCTTGTTACTGGACAAGACCATTGGGTCTTATTCGCATCCTGCGGCACACAATACGCCACGTCAAACGCGTCTGTATCGTCCGTGGTTTACACACATACTTACACGTTGTTCCCTTCTTGCCCAACCGAGATTGTCTTTTAATATCCACACTCCCGGCATTCGGCTTTCCAGCTCCTTCGGCCATTATACCATCTCGACGACTCGTTATTAATGGGGTACTCCTATATTCTCGTGTCATAGGCCGCCCACCTGCTCCTTGTCAAAACAAAATCGTCCGCAGCCCTTCTTCTTGAAGCCTCACACATGGCTCATGTCGAGGCATCCCGGGCTCATTTCTGCCTTGCCTTGCCGTGCCATCCGCATGCAAGCCACCGTTGCTGAGCGGCTCCGATGATCAAACACGTTCTGTCCACATGAGACTTCCCAATACCCAGCCTTCGCTCCCCTACCAAGTCACAGGGATGCGGATGACAGGGTAACAAATGAGACCTAGCGGCCCGAATGGGGCAGTAGAGCTCCCAAACAGGTCAACAGCAACGACAAACGGTCCAGTACCGTGTCGCGCACCCTGTCCCGTCTTCTTCTTGTTGAGTATGTCTTCCGGTTCCATTACGCCACGACAAGGGGCCACGTAGATCAGTCCAGAGTCCTTTCCCACCAACACGGCGAGATGTGCTCGGCTGACCGTGAGATTCCCCAGGATGTGACACAGCCAAGTCTCAGATCAGCCGGATCAAAGGGAATGTCCACCAATACTGACCATGTCGGATGACGGGCGGACTGCAAACCCCCCGATTTTCCTGTCAGCTCTTGTGCATTGTGCATCACCGCCGATGAAGATCCATTTGCAGGGTATTCGGTACGCCTTCCATAAACGATTGTTACCGGTATCTACCGGAAGGATTCACTCCCCATTACCAGAGTGGACATGTTCGTCGACAGACTCGGTAGACGGTGCAACGTGCGCCAGCAAGCCTATCGAACCCTCCTGTTTCACCAACACACAAACCTTGAAGTCCACTTCTGCAAGACATCAAGCCGCTAACTTGACAGAGACTTTGACCGTCGCAAAAAGCACAGTCTCTTCCATATACGGCATGTAGAGATTGCGATCTGTGGTCTGGCCGACGTGTCTGTATCCCTCCCCTCGTCTTGGTCTAGCTGGGTATGATATGCCGCCGATACCACAGTGGATTAAAAAAATTGTGGAAATAAACTAAACGAGCATCATCACTGGATACGCTGATGCTCCATTTCTGGGCCCTGTCGACACATCTCGGCCTGACCCACCAAACGTCCGCGTCGGCTTGCCTCAGTACCCTGTCACTGCAGAAATCGTTAGCGTATCTTCGACCATGTGGCTGATGTCCGGCAAATCGATTCGTCAGGACGGTGTGACAGGACGTTAGCATCGTTCTCGCGCGTACGATGGAGACGCTACAGGCCACACCATGAAAGCAACCGCTACTGTTCTGGGCTTAACGGCTCCGCTTATTGCTTTTGATTTACCCCCAGGCTTGGATCTCGAACAGCCCGCTATCTCCGTCAGTGTTCCCCCTGTTTCCTTATTCGAGCTGGCAGTAAGACTGGCACCAGATCCGTATCGCTATGCGCCCCAAGGAGTGCTTCAATCTCGCAGCGCCACAAGGCTGGCTTCTTGAAAAAGTAATGGCACACATACACATGGATTACATTCTGCCAGTTCATCTCTACGATTGGGGTGAGATGCGGAGAATTGGTCGTCTAAGGAATCCTCCTGCAGAATTCCATGTCAATCAACACTCAAAATGATCCGCACCTAGAGTGCAAGGGGTGGGAGCGGTCAAGGAGACTTTGGTGCTTTTTTTTTCTGCTGTGGATTCAATCTAGGCGTGCATAATGAACGCAGGACCAAGCTCAGATGGTTTCCCGCTGTCTATGCGCCTATGCCGTGAGCCAAATCGTACCCTGACGCTTTGGCCCCATCAAATTAGTGACCGTTGTTGTTGTTGCTTTTTCCATCGCAACGTCTATCCGCAGTGAATATTGATGGCTACAGATTAAGCATCACATCGACGATGTGGAGGAATCGAAGGATTGCATCGCAATATTAACCCGATGACCCACGACACGTCAATCATTCCTACCCATGCGCTTCGTCTGAATTTCGGCATCTGATCCCTACGTACTTAGCACTCATCAATCCCGGAGCTACGGGCAGATCCCCATCCCTTCTGCACAACAAGGGAAATGATCACGGACGAACGTACCCGTCCAGGACTGTCGGGTCCAGTCAGTCCATGTCGGCACAAGCGCCTATTTCGCATTCAGCGAAGCCTCCCGCCACATTGCAAGTTGCAAGTTGCAAGTGCCGTCACATGTGATGACCGAACCCGAGCTGGGGGGTTTCAATGCTGGGGCTCGCGACGGGTTCAGGAGTGATACCAAAAGAAAGTCTCTGTGGGGAGTGCCGAGCGTTTTGCTCTGCTCCACTAAGCGGTTGCATGTATGGAGCCCTGGTACAGCATCGTCCGAAGCTACCGTAGCATCTAAACATTGGGTACGGTGCGCTACTCAAGGCCGGAAAGATTGCGCTGCAGGGCACCTTGGTTGAAATGACTGCCGTGAGGCAAATGGCGGGGCACAAGATCACTGTCGCCACTGTCGTTCGGCCCTTCACAACGTGGACGACCATCAGCAGATCCACACTTACCAACCTGGCTGTCGGGAGATGCCCGCGGCCGCAGTGATGTGTTGACGTGGACATCACTCTATCGAAACCTAATCTCCAACACGACAGTCTGCTTGTGATGGGCATGCAATGCCCGCCAGCTCATGCAGCCCGTGGATCATAAACATGGGTTTCAGGCCATCACACTACCTCTTCTTGCTCACACTACCTTCTCTTGGTAAGCCCAATGCAAGTCTAATCAATCGCTGGGTTGGCCTTTTTTTTTTCTGTCAGTCCTGCCGGCGTTAGTGCTGTATCACGCATTCTGGACTCCGGAGAACGTCCGAACAGGTTGTAGTATGCCCACTGCCATGCTTGATGCCCCCCATCTACGACGACGGTCATCTCCCCCCCCCCCCTGCTATCACTTCGCCGATGATTATCTTGTCATCACCAAAGGATGGAACAGCACCAAATAAGCTAACGCCAGTGTAGTGCACATCATATGGTCCCTTAATCTTTTTTTTAGCACCTGGCTCCAGTTGTTCGTCTCGTTCCCCTACTTCCGTCCCATTCCTGCTGACGAGATGCTGACACAAGACGGGGGGCGATACCCGAGGGAAGGCCTGGGATCTGCAGTCGCCTGCAGCTGCAAACTTGATATTTCGTCGGCAGAGGGGAAGGTATGACGACATTAACGCTCCACACAACGTCTATCACCAAGGTACTGCCGGAGGCGCCGACTCCGACGTACATCGTTATTACAATCATCATGATCACCAGAGGTCTAGAGTTGTCTGCATGTTGCGATACACCTGATTCAACGAGGCTGCGGACAAGACTCAGGCAAATCAGCCCATGTACGGCCGTAACCGTGAGGCTTGTGCGGCCTTGGGTTCTCCGCATGCATAATTCCCATGGACAAAACAGGCCTCCCTTTATTTCTTCGTATGTATCGAACACGGCCCCCCACACCACAGCTCAGCACACAACCCCAGCAACCAATACCATAGCCAAACGTGCCCTGGCTGACCCGATCCACCTTTGTTGCCCACCCACTCCTGTGTCGCCGCTCCTACAATCTTGGAATTGTCATCACGCCGTCCGATCATATTGCCCCGTCCGTCATCATCAACCTATCCCTTCTTCTCGAATAAGAAAACCTGACTGCGGGACCCTCTACCTCGTATCGAACTCGAGCACCGACAAATTAAACTTTCCCTCCGTATATGTGTATATGCGGCGTTGATCGCTCAAACTCCCCAGCTATAGGGCGTCCTGCTTTTGTTGATCTCCGGTACATTAACTCCTTTTCTCCATCTCCCCATTTGTCTAACGCATACTCTCTTTTTGTGTTGCACCTTGCAACTCCATCACCCCCCTGGCGTGGCTACGCTGCAAGTGACGTATACCTGCATACTTTACTTGCCATGGGTGCGTGATGGGGGCGGCGTAAGTGTACATATGTGCTATCTAGAACAAATAAGCCGCAAAGGCATGTGTTGGGGCGATTCGTATCAGCACATGTCTGATGATGTATGTGTTCAAACTCTCAGCTGAGGAAGCAAGCAAGACTCGCGACTTTTACGAACATGTGGCTTCGGTTGGTCTCGCGTATCGGGCCTTATGTTGCTTGCGGTAGTACATGCATATGCATATCTTCTTTGTTTTTTGGTCCTTTTCTCAATACTAGACTTACTTATTATTTTAAATAAAAAATTCGATGCTCTTTTGCTTTTTGGCCAACTGCAATGCAGTATGCAATGTACTCATGCCCCCCCCCCTCTCCCAACCTTGGAAAACTGCAACTAAAGCAGAGAGAAACCTTGTCGTACTTGCTACATTTTTAACCTTGACTCTCTTACTTCCTGCACATACTATGGGCGGCTGTGCATATGTAGCTTGGGGGAAGGGGGGGGGAAGGAGACATGTTAGTCATGTGGTCCACGTGCTTGTCCACTCTAACTCATCGCGATCTTGCGATCGTTGAGATCGCGGGGGGGTCGATCATATAGGCCTTACAGAGAGTATTCTACCTGGGCGTACAACTACCGTACGTACTTTGTTTCCAAACGGTGAGAGACTAGGTCACGCAGACACATATGCCTTCCCACCCTCTTCGCTCTTCCCTTTTTTCCCCTCCCCCCGTTTCTGGTAAACGTTGCGGTTGGAGGAGAAAAGAAAGCCTGGCGTATGGGTGTATGTGTGATATTATTACCAGGGTTCAATAAGACGGAGGTGTTCTATTCTTCGGGCGGCCGGTCCCGACCAACCGCCGCGCTGGGCTGGGGTGTGGTTTGTTGCCCGGATGACGTGGTGGATCGTGGCATCAGGGGTTATGGGGTGGGCGAGTAGGATTGAGAGAGGGGAGGGGTAGGAGTATCGGGTGATGTGGCTTGTGAATTGGGGGTGTTTGCGTGGCGCCTTTTTTTGTTGTTGTTGTGGTTGTTGTTGTTGTGGTTGTTGTTGTTGATGATGATGATGATGAGGGTTTGAGTTGGGTTGTGGATTTTGGTGGTTGGAGCGGATGACCGGGTGCGTATGTGTGTGTGAGAGGGCGGGTATGGATGGTTGGGTGAGAAGCAAACTTGGCGGGGGGTGGAGGATGTGGTGGTGGGGAGGTATAGAGGATGTGGTATAGCTCTGAGGCGGTTTCTTTCTCTTTCCTTGTTCAACCCTTTTTTTCATCGAAATTTGAGATTTTTTTATTCAGTAAAAATTTTGCAATTTTGACTTGAACTTTTTCTAATTTTGTATCTTGGTATTGTCTTGATGCATTGGCATCCTAAAATCTGTTTGAACTTGATGTATCGCTTTTTTTTCACGGATGCTATGAACATTTTTCATAGTTTAGATTTCTAGTGTCTTTTTTAGACCGTTTTGATCGAAACACTCATATTATTTTTTCTGTGGCATGTTTTTTCTGATCAAGAATACTTCGCACCATAATCTTACGTGTTGCTGCTTTTTCAACTTTGGGGAAAGACGGGAGACTGTTATTCCAATACAATCAAAGAAGAAAACACAAATTTCAATACCGTGATTGCTTCTTACACTGTCACACCATCTTTTCCTCTATGTTCTTCTTTCCGATATGACAAATTATAATGGGGACAATATCATAATTTCATGAAATCTCAGGGACTACTGAATATTGATTGCACTTACAGCGATATTTGTCCAAGTTTGCGACTCGAAGATACACAGTGAAAATATTCACGCCGCAATTTCGAACATACCTATAATATCTGTGATTGCCCGCATTCACATGTTTCGCATATGTCAATACTGCTGATTTTGAGGATATGGCAGGCTCCCTATAATAGGGTTCCCATTGTCCCATAGGTAAACTATTGGAGCCGACGTAGTGTAAATTCTGTTCTCGATTTCAAGCATCAGACGTGGTCAATAATCTTACAATAGAAGCATCGAATATAAAGGATGTGAAAAGTGATGTGGCATCTATCAAGCTAGAGAAAAGAGAACAATATATCGTGAGATTATAGCCAGCGACTGGAAAAGAGAGGAATGAACATTTTAGAGAGCATCGAAGCATCTTTTGTTAAGGCTATTGACTCCAGGATGTGAAAATGCTACGAATGTGATAGCACCATTGCCATTATTTTGGACGATGCTCATAAGCGTCTAAAATGATGAAGTCTATTCATACTATTAGGAAAAGATATGATATTTCCGTCTATTAGGTTTTTCTTTCGTAAAATTGGATGCTAAGCTGTTGTGAAAGGATGACCACTCCTCGAATGATTGCATACTTGAACGTGTATGTGATGTCGCTGCAAAGAGTCGTATGAAGGGTACTTTGGAATGATGTCGTTCCAGGTTGGATGACTCAAGAATATCGAAAATGAGAGTGTGCTTCTTGAAATCTGTGCATCATGTAGGTTGAAAGAATTCAAGGAGATAGTTCGATTACCCAGAAAGATAGAAAAAAACGGGAGGGATGACTAAGTGATTCTTACACGGCATCGGAAAAGTGCTCTACAGCTAATTGGGAGGAG